CTCTCTCTCTCTCTCTCTCTCTCTCTCTCTCTCTCTCTCTGCTGGTTGTGAAACTCCGCTCACATACCTCAGGGATTTATCAGTAAACTGATTATCGAGCAGCAGCTGAAGCAGCGACTGGTCTGAACTGGCTCAGAGAAAACGAGCGGTCCGTCACTCTTCAGACTGCTCCACCTGTCCTCATCTGCTCCATCCATCCTCGTCTGTTTACTTCCTCACAGCGCACCATCTCCGTCAGGTTGGCTGCGTTCAGGGACACTTGGACAGTGGTGATTTCTTCCTGTTTAAACATGTTAGCATGCTAACCTGCTAACAAACGGACTCATGTTCACTTCTGTTTTAAAGCGTGTTAACACGTGAACGTCTCGTGTCACTGCGGAGATTTACCTGAGCTGCAGCACATGACTCTTAAAGGTACAGAAGTGTTTGATGTTTGTTATTAACTCAACCCTGATTTGTTATTACTGAACGTTAGATATGATCAATGACTTTGAGGAGTTTGGAAAATACAGGAACACACGCTGGTCATTGAACTGATCACTCTGTTGATTCCAAGGACTGACATCATCATTGTTCGTGTCATGTGTGACCGCATCTTTTCACGTGTTCATGTGACGAAGATGTGATTATTGGTTTAATATGAATCTTTAATGTTTTTCACTGAGATGCTGTTTCCTGTTACTGTTGAAACATTAAGAGCTTTTATTTTGAAAAGCTTCTGTGTGACTTCCTGAGGTTGTGATGATGATGTCACGGTGATGATAATGATGATGTCACTGTATTTAACAGTCCACCTGTTTCTTCCTGCTGTGACCTCATTCTTGTTGGAGCGTGCATCCGTCATATCAGCGTCGCTGGTTTGTACCAACCCTGTTCTCGTCGTCCAATCAGAACTCACCCAGCTGTCACATGATGAACCTGTAGAAAACAACCCAATGATGACTCTAAGGAACAGTTCATCCTGTTTTTACCTCCCGCAGGTGCAGGAAGTCGCTTCTTCAGTAAATATAGAAATCTAATCTGTGTTCACTTCAGCGGATAACTTTTTTGAGTTCTTTCAACCACACCACATGGTCTTCATCATCAGAGTGATGTCATGAATCAGACTAACGATCAACGATCACTCCCTCTATTTAAAAAAAAAAAAAACTTATTCAGGTGCAGTTTGCAGGTTTGACCATTAGGGGTGTCGCTCATAGTTCTGATGAAGGAGCTGTGGTGGAACCGGTGAACTGTTCCTTCAAAACAAAGTAAATCAGACCCCGATGAGTCCAGGTCCAGGTCTTAGCACTAACACCTCAGATCCCCACACAGGAAACACTAAGTAACTGTCTTCTTCTTCTTCTGTGGTGTGCAGCGAGTCAGCGTGTCGTTTCTACAGCCATCAGATGAAGGGGAAGCACCTGGCCATCAAGAAGATGAACGAGATCCAGAAGAACATTGATGGCTGGGAGGGGAAGGACATTGGCCAGTGCTGCAATGAGTTCATTATGGAAGGCACTCTGACCCGTGTCGGTGCCAAACACGAGCGCCACATCTTCCTCTTTGATGGCCTGATGATCTGCTGCAAGTCTAACCACGGCCCTCCGCGGCTTCCCGGGGCTGGCTCCACGGCAGAGTACCGGCTCAAAGAGAAATTCTTCATGCGGAAAGTCCAGATTAATGACAAGGACGACAAGGAGGGCGAGTACCGGCACGCCTTTGAGATAATCCTGAAAGACGGGAACAGTGTTGTGTTTGCAGCCAAGTCTGCAGAGGAGAAGAACGGCTGGATGGCGGCACTGATCTCGCTGCAGTATCGCAGCACGCTGGAGCGCATGCTGGACTCCGCCATGCTGCAGGAGGAGAAGGAGGAGCAGATGAGGCTGCCGGGAGCAGAGGAGTACCGATTCGCCGAGCCAGACTCGGAGGAGAATGTGGTGTTTGAAGAGAACGTCCAGTCCAAGTCCGGAATCCCCATCATCAAAGCAGGGACGGTCCTGAAACTGATCGAGAGGCTCACCTTCCACATGTACGCAGGTGAGGTGTGACATCACTCCTGGGATCGGTTGTTGTTGATTCATATGTCAAAGTCTATTATTTTGAAAGAATCTCCCTCTCAAAGTCACTCGGCTGGGGATTCTGGGTAACATGTCGGATCATAAGACCAATCGGTCTGAACGTGTCGGCAGGTAAAAGTGATGTCATCAGGTGACAGGTTGGGCGGGAGGGGAGTGTCTACAAAACACTTCTGGAGTATCGGCAGAATAAATGGTGTCGTCCAAGTGTCCGGAGGCTGCGACATTCATGTTCTACTGGACAATACAATCATCGTCAATTACACCAATTCTTTAGCCTAAATTTCCTCTTAGTCACGTTCATGTTCGCACGCACACACCGCTCTTTCATTTCACTGTGTCTTACAGGTCTTTGTTTTTGCTGTGTTCCAGATTATCTCGAACCGGCCTGTGTTGATCTTGTCTTTAGTATTTATTGATCGTTTGTCTGCTTCCTGTCTCTGTTTCCTCCCGCAGATCCAAACTTTGTCCGAACATTTCTGACCACCTACAGGTCGTTCTGTAAACCTCAGGAGCTGCTGGACCTGCTCATGGAGAGGTGAGCTCACCTGTCTGACGTTTAACACATTACCCACAAACCACTGGTTTCAGTGAAGAAACCAAGTGTTGTCATGCAGTAGAGGATCACGACTGATGAAGTCCTCACACGTCTCTGTTGGTGTGTAACAGGTGTGAGGTGTCACATGGTCCCTGCAAAGTCTGAGTTTGTTCAACACGTATAAAACATGTCAGGATCTATAAAGTCAGTGAGTTGAAATATAACATTATAACGTTTCCTGTCAGTTTATAATTGTTTGGTTTTTGTCTGTGATTTAGGTTTGAGATCCCGGAGCCACGACCCAACGAGGTGGATCAGATGGAGGGTGGCGAGCAGCCGCTGAGCGCCGAAGTCAAACGCTTCCGCAAAGAGTTTGTTCAACCGGTCCAGCTCAGGTAGAGATCTCAACTGGTGGAGGGATTACTTACTGCAGTCCAGTGAACAGAGACCAGTCACAGAGTCCCAGGATCCGATCCCTCAACCCTGTTCATAGTCTAAACCCTGATCCCAGTCTGGATCTTGATCGCTAACTCTGATCTCTGTCCGTTCAGCTGCTTTCAGACATGCACTGAGATTCTCCGCACTTTCTCCGGAGGAGGTGCATGTGTGAGCCCCCTAGAATAAAGTCAGCAGAAAATCTGCAGAATCCGATGTGAGAACATAGCAGGAGATCCCCGCTGGATTCACTGTGAGTGTGTGCGGTTGATGACGCTTCTAAAAACTGAAAAACAAAACCAAAAGAAGAAAACAACTCTCGGTGTGAAACAGCTGTGCCACAGAAAAAGATGTCGAGAGTTTGTGGTGACAAGAGCCGATGACGGCGTCGATGTGCGTTAAACAAAATCACGTGATCAGTTGAATGAATACGTTACTTCCTGCCTATGGCTGCTGCACCCCCGCTCGCTTGAATAATGCAAAAGATTTGTTGCTGTTGTGAGCACGTCTATGCAAACAGAGTGTGGAGAGTCTACAGAGTTCAGTGCATGTCTGAAAGCAGCTGTAGATGAATGTTGTAAGTACACGGCACGCCTAATCCTCTTCCTCGTCCTCGTCCTCTTCCTCCTGCAGAGTACTGAATGTGTGTCGTCACTGGGTGGAGCATCACTTCTATGACTTTGAGAGAGATTCTTACTTATTGAGACGACTGGAGGACTTCATCGCCTCAGTCAGAGGTATGTACACAATACACCTGAACGCATCATACTCCATAATTAGTACCTGATCCCTGTCGAACACCTGATGTTGAAGTCGTAGAAGCTATGAGGTGGTTCCTCTCACAGCAGGTGAAGAACATTGATCCGTGTTCAGTGAATTTGTCTTCTTTAAAAACTTTGAGGAATGGTACAGATGTAAAGTTCACGTCACAGTTTTTAAACGTCCACATGTAAAGTCCACAGGTGAATAGTGCTGATGTCACTGTGACCTCATACACCTGACCTCCACCTGGGCAAGTCATAGATGATGTCATGTGTTTCAGGTAAGGCCATGAGGAAGTGGGTGGAGTCAATCACTAAGATCATCCAGAGGAAGAAGCAGGTTCAGGTGAGCGTTCCCAGTCACAGCATCACCTTCCAGAACTCGCCTCCTCCAATCGAGTGGCACATCTGTAAACCAGGAAACAGCGAGCAGTTCGATCTCATGACGCTGCATCCCATCGAGATCGCCCGGCAACTCACTCTGCTCGAGTCCGAATTCTACAGGTAACACTCCGTCTCACACTCCGTCTCACAACTGTCTCACAACTGTCTCACAACTGTCTCACCTCTGTCTCACACCCGTCTCACACCCGTCTCACAACTGTCTCACCTCTGTCTCACCTCTGTCTCACACCCGTCTCACAACTGTCTCACTTCCGTCTCACCTCCGTCTCACCTCCTGCAGGGCGGTGCAGCCGTCGGAGCTGGTCGGCAGCGTCTGGACCAAAGAGGATAAAGAGATTCACTCTCCAAACCTGCTGAGGATGATCCGACACACGACCAACCTCACCCTTTGGTTTGAAAAGTATGACCTCCACCCACTTGTGTCTCACGCCTCAAGAAGTCCACGACTGTAGTACCGTACCTGTCCTGCAGCAGCAGCGGTGGGTTGATGTGTGTTCTCTCTGCAGGTGTATCGTGGAAACAGAGAACCTGGAGGAGCGAGTGGCTGTTGTTTCCCGAATCATTGAGATCCTGCAAGTTTTTCAGGAACTCAACAACTTTAACGGTGTTCTTGAGGTCGTCAGTGCCATGAACTCCTCACCTGTCTACAGACTGGACCACACCTTTGAGGTAACTATAGATCAGGAGGTAAAGGTTGTTCTGGTTCCTTGGATGTCTTTATGTTCAGATTGTGTGTTTATGTCCGTGAGGTTTGGACACATTTGTTGTGTGTTGAAGATTGAGTCGATCTTTTTATCGGTTTGTTTGTCATTTTATCATATAAAGATCTGCTGTTTGAGAATTCACTGTGATAAATAATCAGCTGAGTTGTGATGGGCACCGTGGGTCCAAGACTGAGTCACCTGTCCCACCGTGGACAAGTGTCCATTTCCAAACTCAGTCAGGTTGGAATGTAAAGGTATCAGGTGAAGCTGCAGCTTCGTCAGAACGAAACATCGTAATAGAATTCATCAAATTGAGAAAAGCATAAAACGTCTCTGACGCCTGATTCGCTGCAGTTTCAGAAAATGGAACACGATCGATGAAGACATTTGTTTTCTTTTGTTTTTTAGCAAATTCCAAGTCGACAGAGAAAAATCCTTGAGGAAGCTCACGAGCTGAGTGAAGATCACTACAAGAAATATTTAGCCAAACTGCGCTCGATCAACCCCCCCTGTGTCCCCTTCTTTGGTATGATCCAACACACCTTCACGTCTCAATAAAGTTAAACAAGATGGTGGAAGGTGAAACAATTACTGTGTCCGACAGGAATCTACTTGACCAACATCCTGAAGACAGAGGAGGGAAACCCCGACTTCCTGCGACGTCACGGCAAAGATCTGATCAACTTCAGCAAGAGACGGAAAGTGGCTGAAATCACCGGAGAGATCCAACAGTACCAGAACCAGCCGTACTGTCTGAGGGTGGAGAACGACACCAGGGTCCGTCTGATGACGTCATTGCCAGGTTCTCTCATGCTCAGCTCTGAGGTTAAGTTTCTTACTGCGGTTCTTTCTGTGTTTTGGAGCAGAAGTTTTTCGAAAACCTGAACCCAATGGAGGACATGTCAGAGAAGGACTTTGCTGATCGTCTGTTCAACAAATCTCTGGAGATTGAACCTCGAAACGTTCGATCGTTACCTCGATTTGTAAGTATTTAAATGGATTTGTGTTATGTGAAATAATGTATTCAAAGTAACCCGAATCATTTGAATTAAGCCGCTGAGGTTATAAATGTCAGTTTCGATACATTTTCGATTTATTGCGCAGCCAATTCTACAACAATAGTAATTATTATATTATAATTAGGAAGCCGATTCTTCTCCGAACACTCGACTCAATAAAGAGCAACAAAACCCGTGTGCGTGAAAATGAACACATCATTGAAACGTGTGTACAACTCTGTGTCTTCAGGTGAAGAAGTACACGGGTCCTCTGAAGTCTCCTGGGATCCGTCCCACCTCAGCAAGACCTGGCACCATGAGACACCCGACCCCGCTGCAGAACGAGCCCAGGAAGATCAGCTACAGCCGCATCCCCGACTCCGATGCAGAGGGGGGGGCCGTCTCTGCCCCCAACTCCCCCCGCACCCCCCTGACTCCGCCCCCTGCCTCCGCCGCCTCCAGCTCCACTGACGTGGGAAGCGTCTTTGATTCGCCACAGGGTCCCAGCAGCCCCTTCCACTCCAGTAAGACCCGCCCACTGACCAATCACAGAGTTGACTGAACTGTGTGTGTGTGTCTCCCTGTCTCTGTGCGTCTGTTTGTGTGTGCGTCTGTTTGTGTGTCTGTTTGTGTGTGTGTGTCTGTTTGTTTGTGTGTGTGTGTGT